TTTAAGGCTTGGGGTTTGAAATCCAAGGTGGACCAGTGGATATTATATGGGAGGTGGAATATTCCTCCTTGTGTCTTTTGAGGTAAAACCTTCTTTTTTTTATTTTTTATTATTAGATTTATAAATTTTAATTTTTTATTTTATATTATGACATTTTTAATTTATCATTTGTTAGTATTGAAGAAAATAATTTTTACTTTATAATATTTCATTAATTTTATTAATTGATTATTAATTTTATTAATTAACTTTTAATTTTTATTAATTAAAAATAAATTTTTATCAATTAACAATAAATTAATAATTAACTAATAAAATATAATTAATTAATAAAATAATTTTATTAATTAACTATTAATTTTATTAATTAAAAATAAATCTTTATTAACTAACAATTAATAAATAAAATTAAATAATTAATTAACAAAATTAATAAAATATTATAAATAAAAATTATTTTTTTAATTTTAATAAATAAAAAATTAAAAATATCATAATATAAAATAATAAATTAAAACCTATTAATCTAATAAAATAAAATAAAAAACTAAAAAAAAAAAGCATTTTGCCCCGCAACTTTCTGCATGTAAGCTTTACTGATGGGACCGCGGGAGCTTTGGTTCTGGTGGGGACATACCAAGGTGGAAATTCACAAAAACTGGCATCTTCACCCTGCCCAACCCTGCTGTTACCAAGATATCATGTTAGAAAGAAAATGACGGGTGGTACCAAAGAGTCATGGTGTATAAACACGTCCTTCGAATTTAATAGTTTATTTTTTATTTTTAATATTTAAATTTAATTAATTAAAAATTTGATTCCATCAATTATTTGATAAATATTTTCTCCCTCCAATGATTCTCCTTGTAAAAGAAAAAAAAAAAAAGTCATGCTGTATAGCTTTTGTTTGAGGGTAATTCACGTGCAATGGTTATGCCTGTGGTTAAATTTGATAAGATAAAATAAGAAGTTATTAAATTTATATTTTATTTAAAGAAATAATACGTATCTGCTTTACTTTTTAAAAATTAAAAAAAATATATTTCAAAATTACATCATTTTAATAAATTTTTATTAAAAAAAATTAAAATATCTTATTTTTAAAGTATGAATTAGAATTTTTTTGTCATTTTT